CTGTCTGACTTAGACCTTGCTGGCTGTCTGACTTAGACCTTGCTGGCTGTCTGACTTAGACCTTGCTGACTGTCTGGCTTAGACCTTGCTGGCTGTCTGACTTAGACCTTGCTGGCTGTCTGACTTAGACCTTGCTGACTACATAGATCGAACAATTTCAAGGGGGGTGGCTGTTACATAGAAATAAATTTATGATGTCCTTTGTAGATGTTACCTTATTCTTTAAAATCTTACTGATTTTACAAACTTGAATTGAGGCTGAATTAGTCACCCAATCCTTGCTGCAAATAGCTTGAACAGGTTATTTTGTTTACCTACTTCTCTTTGCTTTCAGTTAATTGATATCTTAATCTATTCTCCAGGCAAGAACATACATTGAACAAATGCCAAACTACAGCAAGACACCATTTACACAATACTTCCTTGGTGCCAACCCCCAAGGTAAATGGAACCTTCTCAAAAGTATCGCAGATGCAAAGTTAACATGGAAATACAAAAGAAATGCCACAAATTCCATCGAGAAAAAGAGTGATTTCTTTTGTATTTCCATGTTAACTTTGCATCCACAATATTTTTGAGAAGCCTGGGTACATTCAGATTGAATCAAGAGATTTTAAATTAAAATAAATTTATATGAGTGGAATGATAAACAGAGAATGATATGAATGTTGTATTTCAACAGCTGTTGACTTGCTAGAAAAAATGTTAAACCTTGATGCTGATGAAAGAATAACTGCCACACAAGCCCTCAGTCATCCTTATCTTAGCAACTTTGCTGATCCTAATGATGAGGTAGGTAGTGAATAGTTATAGGAAATAATGAAGACACCTTTTACTGCAAGGATGCTTGAACACCATGAACACTTCCGGGGGGTACTCCCCTATATTCGCTGTACGGGTAAGTGCTGCCAAACAGGGTATGGTTTTCAGCGATTCTACAATTCTACTCTGGAACAGGGTACATAAAATTGCGCTCGCTCTGGAACAGGGTATATGAAATCACGCTCTCTCCTCTCTGGAACAGGGTATCCATTTTTGCAATACCGGAACAGAGTATGGTTTTCAGCGATCTTGCTCTAGAACAGGGTATGAATTTCAGAGATTTTACTCTGGAACAGGGTCAGGGTCAGGTCAGAGGGCTCTGAGCAGCACATCCCTACCCTAAACGGGCAAGAGTACCCCCCTCCCATGGGGAACACACTCAGTTTTTTTCACTTTATTATTTCCTGAACTTTCTAAAGTTTCAGACTCTCTAAAATGAAGCATTGAGTTCAAATCCATTGAATGACAATCAAGATAAATCTTATTTCCAATTATTGATGATTTACAGTATTCATTTTTTTAAGTAACAAAAAACTTGAAGTGTTCACGGTTCAAGTGTCCTTACTGTAAATTTGTACGTTTTATTTCCCATCAATGTGAAAAAAATATTTTAATAGCGACTGCATTGCTTCAATGTCTGTACTATAAAAAAATTATTATTATAGCCTTATCAGGACCTAGACAGACACAATTCCCTATGAAGTTATGCCAAATAGTCTTTCTTTCTTTGTATTGGGACTGAAATTATAATAATTTCATGTTGTGTTTATTAGGTGCTTATCTTCACCTATTTATTTTCATGTGTATACAGTTTGTATATTTATCTTCATAATTTGCACGTTTATACGCATATTTGATCTGATGGATTTCAGTATATGGTTTATCGCTAATGGGTTTCAGTGTACGCAACTCTCAGAGAAGTCATACAAGTTTCCAGTAGCTCAGTGGTAGAGCATCCGTCTAAATAACCGGAAGGTTGGGGGGTCGACTGCCATCCTGCTACTCTGATTTTTTCTAGGGTTGTTGTATTTATTAGCGTGCTTATCTTCACCTATTGATTTCATTTTCATATGAAAAAACTGCTATATTACTTATATAACCTTTAGTATATAGCCTTATATATGCCTCTATGTTGTTTCTAGTACCTTGATAATGATGTCATGATGACTGAAACGTCGCCCAGTAAAACGTTTCCTTATTGTTTTTGATTAATATTATTCCTTTATTCTAGCCCATCTGTGATGCTTTTGATCAGTCCTTTGAAGCAAGAGACCTCACCGTGGAGGAATGGAGAAGTATGTATCCAATCTGCTATGACTATTCTTTTTAGRATAGAATACTGTTTCAATCTGTTTCTGTAAGAGTGGATTTTTTCTCACCTATTTGTCATTGTTCTGTTTTTTTGTAGAATTGGTATACAATGAAATCATGGATTTTCAAGATAAGTCCAGACAGCAGGCTATGGATGTTGCCGAACCAATGCAATCATAGAAATACTGTTTTACAGATATTTGCTTTAATAGAATTAGACATATTTTGCTCTCAAAACACAACTGCTTTAATTTTAACCCTTTAGACATTTCAGAGGCCATTTGTAGCACAACAACACAGTGAAGAATATAACTAGGGTCTTTTTTCAACTGCAACATAGTTATAGAGGTTATTACACTGCTAGTTGTTTATTACATAGAAAATATATAATGGGTGCGAGGAGATATACGAATTTTATCTTCAAGTGTTCAATTGATATCTCATGAGTGAGCGCAGCTCACTCGTGAGATATCTAAATTGAACACGAGAAGATAAAATTCGTATCTCCAAGCAGGCATGTAATATTCTGTTTATTATATAGATATCAATGAAACTTAAATTAAACAAAAGCTTAAAAATTCTTTATTAAGATAGCAAGCCAATTCAATAGCGATATCTTCACGTGTGAAAGATATGGTATCTTCCACTGGGTGAAAGATATCAAGTTTTCGACACTAGAGAAAACCTGGTATTTCATCGATATCTATATAATGAAGCCGGATAATTTTACGAGTGAAAAAATGCAGCTTCACAAGTAAAATGATCCAGCTGTAATACACAACTAACATTGTAATAATTAGTTTATTGTACTAAACAAAAAGAAACTGAGAAAGAATGCCTGCAAAACAATCATATTTTATTGTAAACAAGCAAACTTGAAAGTCACGAGCTCAAACCACTGATATGAGCCACACAAAGGAAAAGAAGAAAATTTCCTCGTGATGACATCAGCAAAAAGCTTGTCCAAAACCAGTTTACAGACCATGTATTTTCGCTCAGACTGCAATATTGCAAGGCTGTCAACCCCCGAGATATTCAAATCAGGAGAATTGATAGGGAAGGGACATGACGTCACAGCACGTCAAAAAGCGCGCAAAAAGACATCTTTCGCTTTGTAACATTTGATGTGATTGGTTTATTTCTGACCAATCAGATTATCGCTTATATTACAATGGCCTGCTTGCAAGAACAGTTTATGAGGAACGTTTTGATTTTGTTAGCGACTTAAAATAACACAAAAAAACACAAAATAATTGGAATTTTATGGTTGTGAAAGTTGAGTCTCACAAGAAATGGTCAGCTTCTGGAATTATCTGGGAGATTTGAGACTCTAATCTGGAGACCGGGAGATACGGTCCAAAATCTGGAGACTCCCGGTTTATCCGAGAGTTGACAGCCCTGAATTGCACTCGAAAAATGGTCATAGTACATGGGAAATTGATTGTGTATAATGTGTATTGATAATATATACTTCATTGTTTGTACGCTACTAAACTTCCTTAATTGTGGAAACCATCTTTTACAAAAGTTTGAATATCGTGAATAAGGAAAATCGTAGAGAGCATAGAAAAAAGTTTGAAATTTAATAAAAACAGAAAAGTGAATTTAATCATTATGTTAGTATTAATTCATAGGAAAGAAGCATTTTGCAAACTTTAAATTCTTAACTGTTAAATTTATTAATCATGCATATTAGTTATTGGTACTGGTAATTTAATGTGCAAATCCAGGAAATGATACTTACATGAAGTACTCTGGGTGCCAGAGGCTGTGGATTTATTCTAATTTGCCAGCTGTGATTTCCTTTAGTAGTATTTGTTTGTTTACTGATAATGGTTGAGAAGTTACATCATTGTCAATTCACCAGCAAAATTTATTTATTCCCTAAAGCCAAAACATTTTGCTTGAATTTCATCCTTCAAAATTCCAGTTTCTAGGAAGTCAAGGAAGAGTTAGAGTAGGGATATTTTTTTGGGAATCTGTAGCACAGTTATAATAATGATCATACCAGCCATGTGTTTAGGAAAGCAATTCACTTATGATTAGATTATTTGTCGTACTATACATGCATTATAGACCTGGTAGATGTGATCAGGTTTAGATTAAGATACACTTGTACGTAAAAATCGGTTGCAAACACATTTTTCAACTAGAGTTTAAGTAGCTATACTAACAATGCTTTCTAAAAGTACAGCATGGAACAATAGCTAAATGATCATCCCAAAACTAATATAAATATATATGGCCTGTACAGCTTGAATTCTTGCATAACGATCAAAGGACCCTTCTCAAAATAATCTTGGACTCAAGGCTAACATGAAAAAATCACTTTTTCTCAATGGAATTAGTGGCATTTCTTCTGTATTTCCATGCTAGCCTCTCATTTGGATTGAAGGTACTGGATGTAAGATAATTTTGTGAAATGGTCCATTGATTTTAAAGTCTGTGTAATGTTTACATTTTGCTTTTATTGTCTTTATACTGTTGTCTGGGTTTGGTTAGTGTTGCTAATAAATTATGTTAAAGATAGAACCTATCACAAKATTTGTCAGGGTTGTCAAAGTTAATATGATATGACTAATGATTTGGATGGAATATCCTGCCCTGGGTTTTGTAGACTCATCTTTTTTATTCACTCTCTCTGTCAGTTTATACTGTAAGCTTTTCCTGTCTCTTGTATTAAACCTCCACACAGACTCCTTTAGGGTTGTCAAACATGCAACCAAGGCCTCCATGCATTATGACATCCCTATAGAAGGTGCCTTAAATACAAACACATAAAATGAAATGGCATAAAAAAATGCATATCCAGCACCCAAGGAACTGTATGCAGATGCCTGCATTTTGTATACATATGTTTATTGCAGAGCATTTCTTAACGAGTAAATAAATAATCAATTGGAAACCGTGTTTTAAACTTTCTCTAAACTACCTTATTCTTCTTCCCTTTTTAGTGCTAAAAATACCATGAAAATATTGTTATTAACTTCATTAACTCCGACTATTTAAAAAAAAAAAAAAGAAATAAAGGAAAGAAAAAAAAGAAAGAAAGAATTAAAATCAATGAATATGATTCATAAACAACTTTTATTTTCTAACATTTTACAGTTTGTTAAAATGTATTTCATAAGTTTTTCTCAATACAATTGAGAAAAATACCTCTAATAGTGAGGTCTTTATGCAAGGTTAAAATTATTACTTTTTATTCCATCTATACTTGAATTTTTTTTTCAAGTGATCAGGCAAAGTCTTGATCAAAGGAATACATGTCATCATCATCATCATTCCTCATTGAAACTCCCTGATTAGATTCTGGAGAACAAAAAAAAAAAGGAGAATTATCAGTAACTATGGAAATATGAGCTTGGTGACCCAAATGCCAGTGAGAGCATTTTTTGACAAACCCTGAAACAATCTTTGGATTGAGCAAAGTCTGGATGCACCAAAATCGGTGACCAAAAGTGGAACTTAGCTAGGATTTGTGTGTGAGTGTGGTAGTGACGGAGAGGGATGGGGGAGGGAGGAGGGGGG